CGCGGCGAGGCCGGGCAAAGACACACACACACCCCTACACACACACACACACACGGGAGGGAGCCGGGCCGGGCCCTCGGGCTACCCGCTTTCTGCCTCGGGCCACTTGCCCACTTCTTCGGGGCCGGGAGGAAGAAGCCGGCAAACGCCCGTCGGAGAAGCGGGCAGGGGAGGTGGAGGGCGAGGGGGCTGCCCTTCCTGACGTGCCCGCGCCTGGCTGTGGCGGCTTTCCTGGCGGCCCCCCTTTCAGCGCTACGGCTCAGCTCCCGGCGGCCCTTTTCTCTCTCAGGAGCCCCGGCGCTCCCTTTGGGATCCCTCTGAGCCCCCCCGCCTCCCCCCGCCCGGACAGCCGCTGAACTTCAGGGCGGCCTTTCCAAAGACCGAAGGCCGCGGTCGGTGCTTTTGTTCCTTGCTAAGCGTACAGGCTGCTGTCCTGTGATGGAGTGACAGGCGAGGACTCGGGGGACCTGGGTTCGAATCTCCCCTGAGCTATGGAAACTCACCGGGTGTGTGGTGGGACTGGTAAAACCGCTCTTTAAATCGCTCGCCTTGGGAGCCCTCTTAGGGCCGCTACAAGCTGGATCTCACTCGACCGCACAAAATAACAAATCCTTTGGGGAGTTCCAACTAGAGTAGACCTGTTGACTCGTGGGGCTTTACATAACTTGGAGTCGCTGTGTGCCCTTGAGTCAGAAGTGACTTTTAGCGACCCTCGGTGGGTTTTCCAGGAAAGTGAGGAATTCAAGGAGTGGTTTTACCAGTCCCTTCCCCCCTCCCCCCAGTTTCCATGGCAAAATGAGAGGCTCAAACCCACGTCGCCTGACCAACTAGAGTAGACCTGTTGACTCGTGGGGCTTTACATAACTTGGAGTCGCTGTGTGCCCTTGAGTCAGAAGTGACTTTTAGCGACCCTCGGTGGGTTTTCCAGGAAAGTGAGGAATTCAAGGAGTGGTTTTACCAGTCCCTTCCCCCCTCCCCCCAGTTTCCATGGCAAAATGAGAGGCTCAAACCCACGTCGCCTGAGTCCTGTGTATCCACAACCCCACACTGGGCACCCAAGCGTTGACTTATAATAGAGCAATGGATTCAATGAGTCTGTTCATAGGTGGGGCGTGGAGGAGGGCCCTGTCTCAGGGTGCAGCTGCACTGTTGATATGAATGGAGAAATCGATTGGGGTTTCTTGAAGCTGATTTAAAGCCATGTGGTTTTTAGGGGGGGGAGGAGGGTGTATCCTCTTGGTACAGTTTTCAGTCAATCTGTAAGCTGTGCAGTATATTACTCCTAGGGACTACACAGGCTTTAACATTTTGCAATTTAAAGCCAATTTACACCTTGGCACTCCAGTCCGAATTTTTCTGGATGTCTCATCATGTCCAAAAGTCATGTTCTTCTTTTAATTATTTTTAATACTTAATATTTTAATGTATCTCAGTGTTGCAGATTGGGAGAAAAGTAAGAGTTTAGACTGCAAGGTATCCTACCATCTGAACTCCGTGGTCCTGAGCACCCAATACTTGACAAACTGCACAGACACAATTTATTCTGACACAGGCAATCAAACATGCCAAAACAATTTTTAAAAAACTGTGATCAGAATAAATTCGAAATAAAATCACCCCTCTCATTAATTTTTTTAAATATAAAAAACCTGCTTTCCAACAAAAAGTAAAATCTGCTTAGTTGTGCATCATGTCAGCATTGCCTTGTCTATATAGTTCAAATGTTTGAAATCAAAGCTTTCATCCTGTATCTTCATATGGGTATTATTTTTTCCCTGCTATCCCTGTGATATATCTCCAGCAGTGCACAAAGTACACTGCACCAGCACATCCACCTGCACCCATACAGAGCAGCAGTTTACTGTTATGGAATTGTCACTTAATTGTAAACCAAAAGGTGCTTGTTTTAAAAGATACACCGGATCTTGAGTAACAGGTGAGATGCCACATTCAGAATTACACACAATCGCTGAAGATGGCACACCGTATCCAAGACCAGGAAAGAGCACAACTCAATTTGCCCACATTTCGGGTGGATTTATTTCCTGAGGAACAAAATATTATGAATTCATAGAACTCTGAAATTTAAAAATTCAAGAATATATCTTCATAGATACACGAGGATGCATTATTTCTTTTACAGTCCAATAATGAGACGTATAGAAACAACTAAGTGTGACTGCGGTTCCAGCAAAGAACAAAGTATTGCAGCCCTGCAGGAAAATCGGATGGGACAAAAGTTTAGGGTTACAGTGTTAATGTGTACACTTTTTCCTCCAACAGCACTGGGATTAGGGACACCAGACTCTCTCCACCTCCCCCGCCCCATGTAGTTAAAAGACCCGTGTATGATTCTTATGCCCGCCTTTAACGTAACTGCAGCCTGTAAGTATTGGGAGGGGAGAATGGAAGCGTGATGTCTCCCCCGCCCCATTGAGCCGTGTGCTGCTATAACGTCCTGTGAGCCTCCTGGCATGTCCCAGCACCTTCCTGTCTGCCATGCCAGGAGAAGGGGTCATCCACACCACCAACCATAGCGGCCTCGGTAAGTCTGAAACCCACCTCTCTCCAGCCACTTCCTGGAGATGAATAGCAGCACAGTGTTTATTGAATATTTATTTCTTGACTATTTCTTTGTTTATTGAAAACAAATCTGTGTATAACCAAAATCGTGCTGCTTCAACTTGCGCAATTCAAGGGAGAAGTGTAGTTTCTTCTGCAAAAGAAATGGGAAAAGAGATGAAATGTGTCAAGGAATCCGCCTAGGACTGCTGGCCCAAAAATCTGACTGTGATATCTAAAGATACATATTACTGCAAAATTATAAATTGAGTTTACAAGATGCTATTTTAATCCTCATCCAGGTGGATAAAAGAAATTGCACTGGTCCTTTCTAGGGAATGTTCTGTCCATTGGATTTTTGGGAAACTAAGAATAACAGTAAAGATAAGGTCAGAGTCAGAGGAGTTGGATTTGCACATCCTTCGTTTCCTAAACCCACAGAGGCTTCCAATACCCTTCCCCAAATGGAGCCAATCTATGGGCAATCCCAAGTATGGTTCTTGGCATCATTGAAAAAGGCATGGCACATTTATTTGCCTGAAAACATTCCACTGACTTGGCGGGAAATTACTCCAATGTCAAAATACAACAGCCAATTTTTTATCCTAGGTGCTTTTTCTTTCCAGCAAGACTGACCATTCAGGCAACCAAAATGTACATACAAGTAGCTGAAATTTCAGGGCTTCATTTCCAACTCTATGGGTAATGATGTCATAAAATGGCCCCCTTCTAGGGTGAGTTCAGTGTGAATTGTACCAAAAAAAAAGTGACTGTGGGGGAGTAAAATGTCCCATCCAAGTGCCTGAGGTTTAAACATCTGACCAAAAGCATTAATTTTTACATGGGACGGAGGCATTTTTATATGTGTCAGTCCCTTTGATTATCTTTTTAGAAAGATAGGAGAACCATATGCCATATCCTGAATTCTAGCAATGTTATAGTAAAACGTATTCATTTTTTTTTTTTGCTATTAGTTGGGTTATATCCTTATCACACTGCAAAAATGTGCATTTTAAAATGATATGAAAATTCTTCATCAAATCGTTGGTGTGTTGATAATCTCATCTTTGTCAGTTGAATATATAAAAAGCTCTTTTTAGTGACAAGGACTCAACATAGCATTTTTTTTGTTTCATTTTTGAACTCATTCTGCTTGTGTCTCAACTTACATTGTCATAATTGAATCAATTGGACCATTTTCTACTCACCGACTGGTGCACTGTGTTCTCTCAATTCCACTTATCCACAACATTCATAGTTTGTTTTTCTCACATACACTAATTGTAACATGTCTAGTTGTTCCATCAGGAGAATTCATGGAATTCTCACTAGCCTTTGAGTATTAGCATTCAAATGAGTCACTGTCCAGATAAAATAATTAGACTGATTTTTCCCCTATATATTCACTACCTACAGTTGTTCACCATGAAAAATAACCTTATATCATAGTGCTGAAATTACCCCTTGTTTGGATGTAAAATGTCTTCCAATAAAAGTTTATGTGAGGTGGAAATGACGTATGTACTGTCCACCCCATGCTATGTTTCCTTCTCATAGCTCCGTCCTTCCTCATGATTTTGAAGATAGGAAATACCTTCCTTTTGCCACTCATTCCTGCTGCCTCTTCAAGGCTGTTCTCTTAGCTATGCATGTTTCCTGTTCCCCTTCCCTTCTTCATGCTGTTGTGTGCATCGTTGCTTACGTAAGCTGTAACCTCTGCTTCTAGCTCAGGGAGTCTTTCTGGCCACAGTGCCTGTAACACCATATTCTCTCCCTCTTCAGTTGCTT